TTTTTTTAATTTAAATTAATATATAAAAATACAATCGATAAATTTTTACACTTTTAAGAACGGAACTCAATTTTAATACGAGAAAGTAAACAATTGCTATGACTTGTTTTATTGGGACTTTCCATTAGACAATTGACATGTATGTTATGGATCGGAACATCTTTTATACTTTTAAGTAATAAATTCATCTTTTACTATGAAAAAAAATAAAGAATAAAACTCTTTTTCTTTTTTAAACTGAAAAACTTAAAGTAATGAAGCAAAGGAGTGAGTGCTTGAATTTGAGCCCAGAACATTAGCGACCTAAACATTGCCCCTCTCAGGGGATGGCTAGTAAACTAAGAACGGAACTCAATATTAATGGTTATGTTTAGGATATTTATCCGCACACTAGGCTTTAACTAGTAGCTAGCCACACCCAGTCTGACTTTTCAAATTACAATCAATCACTCATCTGAGAATTGGGTCCCTTTCCTTCAAGTTGCATCAGTCTTACGGTCTTTCCAGGAAATTAAGTTGGACTTCGTCGGCTTTGAACTGCAAAGGTTGTCTGACCTTTATTGAAAATTCTAGCCTTACTACAATCTCAAAGATGGCTATATATACCAGTTGCTTGGATTCCACTTCCTCATATATCACCAGCCTCTCAAGCATCCTTTACACGTGACTTCTGTCTAAACCTCCCCTAAGACTCAACTAACCTTCAAAACTAGAAATGAATTACCCAACAAATCTTTTTATAGATAGCCCAAAATCCCCCCTGCAGCCGCCTACTTATGGAAACCAAATCACCATTCTTAGCATCGATGGAGGTGGAATCAGAGGGATTATTCCCGGAACTATACTGGCCTTTTTAGAGGCTCAACTTCAGGTACAAATTTTTGTAGTGTATATATTGGCACAACCTATATATATTATAAGAAATGTATATAATGTTTACTTAATTATATGTTTTTTTTGTGAATTTACTTTGAGCAGAAACTGGATGGTGAGGAAGCAAGACTCTCAGACTATTTCGATGTCATTGCCGGAACTAGCACCGGTGGCCTGGTGACTGCCATGTTAAGCACACCAGATGAAAAGAACCGCCCTCTGTTTGCTGCTAAAGACATAAACGACTTTTACCTTGAACACTGCCCTAAAATCTTCCCTCAAGACAGGTAATAATCTCGAGGACCACACAGCTTAATTTTATTGCATCTTTGTTTTTCTTCTTTTTTCTTAGTAACTCACATGAATATATTTTGTTTCTTTTACGCAACAGTAGTGCTCTGTTTGCTCCCGCTGCAAATCTGGTGAGATCTTTATCAGGACCAAAATACGATGGAAAACACCTGCATGAAGTTGTCAGGGAAAAATTAGGAGAAAAAACACTGAGCCAGACTTTGACAAATATTGTGATTCCGACCTTCGATATCAAAAACCTCCAGCCTACAATCTTCTCCAGCTACAAGGTTGGATAACAGATAAATAAAATAAATAATAGATAGTACCTTCCAATTTGGTACGTGGGGTCTGATTTTGCTACAAATATGGGTGATGTTATTAATTCAACATTAATGTCTTGTAGGTGAAGAAAGACCCTTGCTTGAATGCTTTGCTCTCCGATATTTGCATTTCAACCTCCGCCGCTCCGACTTACCTTCCGGCCCACCATTTTGAAACCGAAGATTACATCAACGGAAAACTGAGAGAATTTAACCTTGTTGACGGCGGTGTTGCTGCTAATAATCCGGTACACATAACTCAATTTTCAGTAAACATTATTTAATATATTACCCACATATATATATATATATATATATGAGTATATATCTAACAAAAGTATGTATGTGTATAATTTTTCCAGACTTTGGTTGCCATAAGTGAAGTGACGAAAGAAATCACGAAAGGAAACCGGGATTTCTTTTCGATAAAGGCAAACGATTACAGTCGGTTTCTGGTTATATCTCTGGGGACAGGTACAGCGAAAAGTGAAGGAAAGTATAGTGCTTTACATGCGGCTAAATGGGGTCTTCTGGGATGGTTGACCTCCGACGATTCCACTCCTTTGGTAGATGTGTTCACTCAAGCTAGCAGCGATATGGTTGATTTCCATCTGGCTACTGTTTTTCAAGCCCTTCATTCCGAAGAAAGTTATCTTCGAATTCAGGTATGGTGTTCCTAATGAATCGACCACATAAAAAAATAAATGAGTATAGCACAAAATTAGAATATATAATATCTCAATCATATAATAAATGAGATTTATGTTATTTATCTTATAGTTATAATTGAACATAATGACATATTTAATTTAGAAAATCTGCATATCTTCATGTGAATAAAAGAAAATTTTTAATGTATAAAAAATTAATGCAGGATGATACGTTAACGGGACCATTAGCCTCTGTGGATGTTGCTACGGAAAAGAACTTGGAGGACCTTGTGAAAGTTGGGGAAGAACTGTTGAAGAAGCCTGTTTCCAGGGTTAATTTGGATTATGGCCAGGTTGAGGCTATCGGTAACAAGGAAACAAATGAAGAAGCTCTCATAAGGTATGTATATGGAGCCATTTCATTAAAATTTTTTTTTAATTTCTTTGGATTTACAAAAATAATGATGTATTGATTTAATTTTTGTACTGCTTGAATTTTTATGTAGAATGGCAGCTATACTTTCCAAGGAGAAGCGCCTTCGTGACATGAGATCACCACAGGGACATGCTGCTCAGAAGAAATGAGGAATGAATTAATCTCAAATTAATAAATCTTGCAGCTTTATGTAA